GTCTTACCCTTGAAGAACAACAACAAGACAACAACTTTAGCAACAATTCTGAGCCAAAACCAAGTCCAAGGCCTCAAAACAAGCTCCAAGGGACCTCAGCTCCAAAGTGAAGGTGTTTGAGTAGGTGTTTGTGTGCAAAAGTGTGAAGAAACAACACTTTAAAGCTCAAAATAGCACAATATAGAGAGAGAGTGAGAATTCTAGAGAGAGAGAGGGAGATTTTTTTGCTCTGAAAAATCTGAACCCCCAAATAGGGAGAGAGAGCTTCCCTTATATAGAGCAATGCAAGCACAATCTTGCTTGACAAGCTAAAAGCTTGTATCCATCCCCTCCATACACGTGTATGGAGGATGAGTTCAATGAGCCACAGCTGGCTCAAAAGATCTGAAAATATCTAAAAAGGAGAAAAAGTGGCTGCCAGCCAGTTAAGTGGCCGGCTGGCCACTTCAACTAGCCGGCCGACTACTCCAACTAGTTGGCAATGAGAAAAAGTGGCTGGTAATTGCCAAAAGTGGCCGGCAAGGCCCCACTCTCCTTCTGCTAAGAGGCACCAAGGTTTGGCGTAAAAACAAGGCCAAAACACAGAGGGTTTAGAGGCTTAAAGACAAGGTTATCGACCGAGACCTTCAGGCACTCAAAACTAGCACAAACATGCGGAATCATCGAGTGCACAAACGATGACATCAAAGTCTTAAGGTCAGTCAAAAATGGAGTGTCTACAAGACCATAAAATTAAAGTAAAAAAAAAAAATGGGTATCAAATTTTTTTTATTTTTTATTGTCATTTTATTTTATAGAAAAAGTGAAAATTTATTGAGAATTCAAGATTTTACTATAATATTAGATAAATTTAAAACTTTTAGATATCATTGTGTTATTTATTTTTATCCTCTTTCTATCTCATTATACAATTACAGCTATTTGTTAGTTTGTTAATTATAATTCAATTAATTGAAAATGAAAACTTAATATAACGTTTCATATATATTACAGTTAATTTGTTACAATTATAATTGTATATAACAGCATAATACATAGGGATAATCTCTAAATATAATTTTTATTTTTTTATGTGATTAAATTGTTCATCTTAAATAGCGTATAGAAGAGTTAGATGACTTATTTTATCTCTAAAAAACCCAATCTTTTTTTTTACTGTTTAATTTTTAAATTGAAACATCAATTGTTTATGTCTATAAAATAAAAATGATAAACACATATCCAAAAGCTACATTTTTTATAAAAAAAATTTAATATGTAAGATATTTACAAATGGAAAATATTCGACACCTCAAAATTTTTTTCCATAATCTGACTTATAATGATATAGTCATAAGTGTCAATTTTTATACAAATATGAGAAGAGAATTAATTAAATTATATATTTTAACCAACCACATACTCAAACTTCACTATTTCAAGAAGTTATTTCACTATAATTCCAATTAAGAGAATTTCAACCCTTAATATTTTTTTATCAAATTATAATTTGATAAAAATTTTAAAAGATGAAATGTTGAAAATTATTGTTTTTTTCTATCAAAATTGGTGAAAAGAAAAAAAAAATGGGATAAGAATGAAATTCTTTTAAAAATTGATAAAAAGTTAAAGTAATTCATATAAAATCAAAATTTTTATTTAAATTTGAAATCAAATTAGATAAAAAAAAAAATTAAAAGAAAATGATGAAAGTTTGAAAATATTTTGAAACCTTCTTATTCTTAAAGACTAGAAATCCATGTATGTATTATATTCATATTGTATTTTTAGTTATGAAATTGAAATCAAAAGAAATGTAACTTAAATTATTGGGTTAATAATAGAAACATCATATTAATTATTGTTAAATATCACTTCACTTCACTTCACATTTAATAATAAAATTGTATATTTGTCTTAATTATAACTTTTAAATTTGTATATTTTTACAATAAGAAGAGGTATGTCATAACTCATTTAATCTTATTTAATCAGATTTAAATTTTTTTAATACAAATTATCAAAATTGCACTAATTAGACTTATATACATATATATATTTGCACTAATTAGACTTATATACATATATATTTATTTATTTAATTTTTTAAAACTAATAATTTAAAAAGTTATAAACACAAAAGTTAACTTATAAATTTTATGTATACCACAAGACAAAATATTAAATTATTTTAAGATAATTATAATAATTTTTTTTTAATTTATAAATCCCCGTGCATAGCACGGATTACTACTCGTGATTACTTAACTATATATCAAGATGAGATCTCGTAAATGAGATGCTCTTTTATATGTTTAATTTCAAATTTTATCAATGCGAGTGTAATTTCACATTCTTTAATGATCACTTACGTATGCAAGAAGATTGTTGTTAGGACTGGTGACAAATGGCTAATACTTATCGATTATGGAGATTATTATTGATAGCTGTAAGGTTATGACCTAACATGTCTAAAATGAAAAGGTTAACAATGCTACCAATTCCACTACTTTCTGTTGCTGAATTCAAAAAGCGACATAAAATAAAAATAAATATAAATAAAGAGAGATCTGTGACTAGTGGACACCATTGTCACAGCTGCCTTGCTTAGTACATGCTTGGCTTAGCATAAAAAGAGAGCATAATTGTGATTTGAATTCCAAGAATATAGTGAGATATAAAATAAGAGATTAAGAAGAAATTCATATTAATTGATCGGAATTAATCTAAATATAAGATATGATACACAATGTAAAAAGATTGATAATTTTAGGATTAATCATCTTAGAGTTGCTAATATCATCTAATTTAGTTTTCCAAACAAACATAACTAAGTATATTAATTAATAAATTTTAAAATAATTATATACATTTTTCTAACGTACTTTTGTAATATATAAATACACTCTATAATTATTTCTAATTTTATTAATAAATAACCTTAAAACACTCAATAATAAGATCTTAAATTAATTAGATACCATGTGTCCAATAGAAATAGCAATAATAGGTAGTTAGGTAGTTAGTTAGTGAACATAGTGGACATTAAGCATCACAGTGATAAAAGAACTTTGAATTCTGTTTATTCCTAACATTTGAAGGCACAATGGACATAATAAAGTCGAGCACAGCCAATTCTATTTTAATATTTTGTATTCATTCTGTTTTGTCCTCTTATTTCTTTTTCTTTTTTTAAAAAAAAAATATTTTTTCTAATCCTTTTAGTGGGGGCAAATTATTAGACCATCATTAACCCATTATATTTAAAAAATTGAGACATATTTAATAATTTAATATTTTGTTAGCCAACACTTTTAAGACACTGTTAACAAAAACATAGAATCATATGAAAATTATAAAGAAAAAGATATGAAACCATACCCTAGCTTGTTAAAAATGTAAAAATACCAGTAAAATAGGTTTTACTCATTTAAAATTAAACTAATTAGTCGTGTCTTGAACATAGAAAATTTTTAGAGAATGAAACATAAATGTGAAACAAAAAAATGCATTCCAACATAAGAAGCCCACTATATGCAAGACTTACTTTTTGTATCTGTATTTTATTTTGTGAAAATTTTCACATTTAAATTTAGTCAAAAACATTTTGGTGCTAATGCAATGCAATGCAAGTATGGAGTGGGCATACAAATTGGGTTCCCATCTTGTCCCTCCTAACGGGTGACATTTCATCACAACGGTGTTATTAAAATCATCCCTAGATGTCCCACCAAAAATATGGTAGCCATGTGCGAGTGTTAAGCATCTGAAAAAACACAAAAAAAAAAATGTCCTCAAATTAGATTAGCAGTTATCTCCTTCATTCTGGATTTTGGAATATATGCATCTTGACCTATTCAGGATCCATGTTCATTGAATACAAATGCAATTATTTTTTGTTTTTTTGGATAAAAACAAAAACAAAAAAAAATCTATAATCAGTGTGTTTGGTTTCAGTTTTGTGGATTAAGTTTTTTGAAAACTGAATTTTTTAAAAATTTTAAACATTTTTTTTACTTTTTTAGATACACCTTACTTAGATGTATCTAAAAAGTAAAAAATTTGTGAAAAAATATTTTAAAAAATTAATAAATACATAGAAATACAAAAAAATATACTGAATTCTTGTATTTTTTTTGTATTTTTGGTATTTAGTGAATTTTTTTACAATTTTTTTACTTTTTACTTGTATTTATGTTAGGTGTGTCTAAAAAGTAAAAAAATTGCTTAAAATTTTAAAAATATTCACTAAAAAAAAAAAAAAAAACACGAAAAATAAGAATGTAGAATTTTCTGAAAAGTATTTTTGAAAAAATAGAACCAAGCAAGGTAAAATTTAGACATTTTATGTACACATATGCTAAGTTTAATGGCTAAAATACTCCTTTTTTTTGTTGAGTTTAGTGGTTAAATTATCATTTTTCCATTGGGTAACGGAAATTAAAACCTCAGAGTTTATTTTGTTATAAGAGTGTTTTTTTTTTTTTTTTTAATTTCCCCTAAAATAAGGATAAATTACCATATCATTTTTACTTATTTTCTAATTAATTTTTCTATTTATATGACACTACTCTTTATAAAACACCCGGCACAAAATGAAAAGAGAAAGTATTTTATTATAATATTCAAGAATGCCATGACTACATTGTGCAAGCATCAAATATTATTCAACAAAAGAAATTAAAATAAAAATTTTATAAACACAAAATACGTCATTCATGTTATGCACATAAATTTCTAGTAAAAACAATGTGGAGTTACAAGTGATTGCCAAGGTCATCTAATTTGCTTTTATGGAATCTTTACACAAGAAGAAAAAAAAAATACAGATTCTTGGTGGTCATTTTGATATGTCTCAGCACAAGCATTGTGTAATGCGTAGGTAAACAAAATTTAATTGAGAACCAACATGGAAACTGAAAGATAAAACAATCTTGAATTGGCCCACCCTAACAAGAGAAATCAGATTAGATAGATAAAAGAAACATACGCGAAAGGTTTACCAGACTTGAAGCTAGCTATAACCTAAATACTTCTACATCATTTCCATTTCAAAATTCTACAGACGTACAAGTCCAACTGCTGTTGTATATACAAAGTTAAAAGACTGCATAGGAAGAAAATATATATATATATATAAGCATAAACAAAATGAACGTCCTATCTGTCTTATCCCGGTTGCCTGATTAGAACATTAACTATGGGCCAATTTCTCTGATCAACTTCAAAACTCAACGCATCTCCATAAACCCACAGAAACAATGGACAACACGGCCAAAAAGTACCCCAAGCATATGCATAGATGAGAAAAAGAAGAACAATGCAGGAGGAGCTTTCAAAGACGCAGAAGGAACCTCTTCGTCACCACTTCTTGGAAAATCACTTCTTGATTTCATGTTCCAAGCCAATTCTTGAGCAACTTTTGTGACATCACTGGACTTGGAAAGGGATGTATCCTGGGTTTCATCTATGATAGCATCAGGATCAGCAGTGACACTATGCTCTTCTTCAGCTCCTTCAGCCTGCACAAAATGCCAATTATATAGATGGAGGGTTTAAAATCAAAGGAAAGGCATTATCACAATCTGTACAAAAGTTTCGCTGACAAACTTCTCACCTTAGCTTCATGGTTTTCTTCGTTGTAGCTCAAATCTGTAAAATTGCTCTGGTACAAGGATGGATCTTGAAGTTTCTTCTGCAGCCTGTTTCTTCTTCGTGCATTACCCTGTGACCCAAAGTTTTTGGAACTAGTTTGATCACGAGGTTGGCGAGCCCTTAATTTGATTCCGGTTCCAAAAGTGTCAACATTGCTGACGACATTGCTATTACTGCTTGATCCTTGAGAATCAAACTGCAGTGTAGGAAGTAAAAAGTCAATTTCCAAGTGTACATCACATGGAACACCACAATGCAGAATAATTTGATAAGCATCATTAAAATTAGGCAATTCATGGCGTTCAAGTTGGAGACTAACAAAAGTCAAAAGTTAAGTTGTGAATTTGCAAAATCATAAAGCCTGAAAGGTCCTCAGAGACTTCAGCGTACCTGTGCCCGAGGCACTTCTGTGTCAAAATAGGAGACCCACCCATTAAGATTAATATAATTAAGGGGCTCACTTTCAACAGCCAAATTCTTGTAACTTCCAGAATCTTTCGCTACGACTGAAGCCAAGTGCTCAGTCAACACCCCATTGGGGTCAGGACCAACATGGAGCAAATTTAACGAGTGCGATGGGGATTGAATTTTGTCAAGGAAATCTAGTGGTTCCAGACTTGGGTCAACAAGATGTCTCAACAAATCTGGATCAAGATCCGGCTGAAGCAATCAAGAAAGAATAAGCAAATTACATGACTATGATTCATTCTCACCACAAAGATAGTTGAAAAGTTAAGCTAAAAATAAACTGTTCTTCTCACTTGGAAAATCGATTTATCTCCTGCATTATCAGCAACACAGTTCTCAATAGGTAAAGGACTATCAAGAGTTGTTCCGTTTGAACCTTCGGTGATCTTATCCTGAAAGAAAGAAAGAATAAGAAAATTATATGAATGTGATTTCATGCTCTCATAAAGATAGTTGATAAGTCAAGCTAAAAATAAACTGTTCTTCTCACTTGGAAAATCGATTTATCTCCTGCATTATCAGCAAGACAGTTCTCAATAGGTAAAGGAGTATCAAGAGTTGTTCGGTTTGAACCTTCAGGGATCTTATCCTGAAAGAAAGAAAGATTAAGCAAATTATATGACTGCAATTTCATGCTCTCAATAAAGATAGTCGACAAATTAAGCTAAAAATAAACTTTTCTTCTCACTTGGACAATTGATTTATCTCCTACATTATCAGCAACACGGATCTCAATAGGTAAAGAAGTATCAAGAGTAGTTCTGTTTGAACCTTCAGTGCTCTCACTCTGCATTATGTCTAGCTTCTTCTTGATTAACTTAAACAGGACATATGAACCCTGCAGAAGGCAAAAAATTTGGTAAAATGAATTAAGCGAGCCATTATTTGAATTCTGATTCACAAATTTACTGAGAATCTCCACACACAAACTGAGCTGATAATTTGAGCCTAAAGAACCAATACATTGAAATATAGCATCAGTTTAAATCCAGAAAAACAAGAAAAGGTTTTTTTGAAAGTTAAACATGATAATTATTACTTCTAAATAGCAAAGTTCCAAATCAATGCATATCAAATATTTTCATCAAATTCAAACTATGATGACAAAGAAAAGACTCATAAGCTACAATCAATCAGACTTGAAAAGAACCACAAGATATAATCCATGTTATGAAAAAAAACAATGAGACCTGAAAACAATCAACTACGCTGTCTATGCCTTTCAAAAATTATGAAAGGACCACCATTCATTTCACTAAGAATCAAGAACTTGCCATAGGTACACAAACTTAAACACCATTTGAGTTCATGGATCTTAATTAGCCACCACAATCAACACATGAGAGAATTACAAATCAAACGGAATTGGTAGAAATTGAAGACAGAGGAGATCAAAAGTTGAACCTGCCCTGGATTAGTGCCGTCAAGCACATCACTGGATGCACAGTACTCATGTATCACCCAGTTAGTCTTCTTCGGCCCTTTACCAGAACGCCCAGTATAGAACACCAAAGTCTTCTTCTCGCCAATCTCACTCGTTCCATCAACAGACTTGATCAATCTATTCCTGCCCGTCACTTTCCAGTACCCAGCCCTAGTCGCTCTGTTCATTCTCTTTCGGCTCCTATGCTCAAAATTTTTGGGACAGAAGAAGATCCACTTATTATCATTCGTCTCTATCAGAGACATACCTGCAGTTACCCAAAAAAAAATAATAATTACAAAAATAATTATTAAAAAAAAAGAGAAGAGACCTGACCAGGATGGGTGACACACGGACACAAAGTAGAATACACATACAAGAATTGTAAAAGCACATACACACAAAAAACACAAGGGTTTATGTGGTCACCCAAAACTAGACTGCTTCCACAGCTGATCAAAAAGGTTACAAGAGTTGATCCGCAGTCAAGTAGTTAGCCCTAATACTATTATGAGAGTAATCACAAGAGCAAATTGAAGCTCCATTTACATCCAATACACATAAAACACATACCCAAAATGCTTACATAAAAACATGTACGTTGCTTACATATCACAAAATTGGGACTTTCTGATCAAGTATCAATAATCAAAGAAGAAACCCCAATACAAGTATGATTAATCACCACAGAAAATTGAAGTAAATCAATACACATAAACACATACCCAAAATGCATACACAAAATTCGAACTTGTTTATGATCAAAGAAAATCAAGAATCCAAAAAAACAGAAAACCCAAATGTTTTGAAGATTACCAGGCAAATCCCAGGGTTCCAAATTACAGAGATCAACAACACGAATATGCCTGACAGCCTCTTCATCGCCATTGATCTTGGAGCGTAAGAAATGATTGATGAGTTCTTCGTCCGTCGGACTAAATCGGTACCCTATCGGCAGAGCATTCAAGGGCAAGATTTCCATCTCCAAAATTAAAGAGAGAAAATTCAAACAAGACTCACAGTGGAATGTTACGAAGATGGACACCAAAACAGAGAGAGTGAGAGAGTGATAATGAGAGAGACAGAGACAGAGACAGAGAGAGAGGACGTTGCTGAGATTTGGGGACGTTAGGACCAAAGACCCGCGTTTTTTTTTTTTTTTTTTTTTTTTTTAGTTGATATTTTTTTTTTTTTTTGTTATTTTGACAAGTGAATCGAAAATATTATTATTATTATTATTTTGAAAGAAGTAAAAAAAATTAAATTTTAATCAACTTTTTAAAATAAACTTATATATCAATATGCTCTGTTTTTTGGAAGAAATTACATGAGCAATTTTTATTTTTTTTTGTAGAATATTTTATTTTATTTTTTAAATCTATAAATATGCTCTGTTCAGTTTAATATTGATTGTTTTGGTAAATTTCTCTTTTAGTATGTTAAAGTTACTGAAATTAATGTTAATAGTACAAAAATATTGAAATAATTAAAGATATTTATATATAGGAAAATTTACCCATAAGTCCTAGTTTTTGAAACGTTGAACCATTTAGTCTTAAAAGTTTTCTTATGCTCCATTTAGTCCCATTTTTACATCAACATGATGTGAATGATGTAAATGATCTGATGTTTCAATCTATAATTTCAAAATTTATTGAAATCTGATGAACATTAGATGTTTTTCATCCTATATTTTCAAACATTATTGAAATTTGATGAACATTAGATGTTTGAAATCCAATGTTTGTAACATGACTCTAATGTTATTAACATTGTATCTGATGCTATTAACATTGTAATGGGACCTTTCAGTCTATAAGAAAACTTTTAAGACTAAACAGTGCATAAGTTATTAATTTGGGATTTATTGGTGCATCCCCCATTATATATATTTCATACAATTGACGAATTATTTAAAAAAATAAAATAAAATAAAAAACACAAAAGTATTAGTCAAAAAATCGAAGCGTCCTATTATTTATTCCAACAAACTATAATCTGAAAGCTTACACCGACCTTTCAATACAAACTACAATTAAGAGAAATTAAATGCACACCAAATGTCATGTATAGTAATAACTTGAGGTCCTCTTCCAAGTCAACTGTGTGGCAACCAGGGTTAGAAATTAACAAATTATTACTCATAATATTATATTATTTTATCTTATATGTAGTGAAATTTTGAGAAGTTGGTAAAAAATTAATTTTTTACTTTTTAATTTATTTTATCTTTTTATGAATAAAAAATATGAGAAATAATATAATTTAAAATAAATAAAAAGCTAAAATTTATTTTATTTATTTATTTATTTATTTTCTTCCCAAAATACCCCGCACATTGGAAAACACTAACTAAAGAGTCGTGCGCTGCAAGTTTGAGGTGTGAACATGAAGAATGGGACGTGGAAAAGGGCAAAAGCACTTGTTAGAATCTTTTCCTGCGATTATATTTAGGTGAATGGTGAAATTTGGTGGAAAAGACATAAGTGGGACCCTGATATCTAAAGCTTCCAAGCTCCCATCTCTCCCTTTACTGGTCCCGTTTGGCTTGGTTATTAAAACAGTTTATAAATAATAACTTAATAAATTATAAATTATGACTATAATTAGAAGTTATTAATCTGTTTGGTGTATATGTTAAATTATAGATTTAAATTACTGAGTAGTGTTTGTTAAATAAGCTGTGAAATAACTTTTTCAATTAATTTTTATTTTTTATTTGTCTACATTTCTCATAAAAAATAATAATAATAATTTATAGTCCATTTGAGTCTTTTTTTATTTTTAAAAAAATAAAAAATAAAAAAATTTAAGAATAGAACCAAAAATTAATATGTCCACAGCAGAAGCTGATAATCAGAAGCAAGGGGTGAGCAGCTTCTCAGAATCAGTTTTTTTGAGTTAAAATAAACTGTTAGAATCAGAAGCTGTTTGAAATAAGTTTAACCAAACAATCCAAAATAAC